TCTCTTTTGTAACAGTAACAGCTTGTTTCTTGGCCGGCGAGGCTCCGTTTCCTTTCTGTGCACCCCCCCGTCTGTCTTTGCGGCCGTGGTCGATGGTAATTAGTGCAAAGCAGCTGATGTGATCGTGAGGGGTCATTCGGTATCAGGTGAAGGCGAATCTAGTCTTGTAAATGCGACTTCACAAAGGAACTCTTAGCAACCGGAGGAGACGCCTTGTAAGCATTTAAGTGTGGCACAAATGGAATAAATATATGCTGCAAAAGCGCCAACATGCAGTTTTCCCACAAAAATATAGTTTTATAATTAAATTCTGAAACACACTCCTTTTTTTTTTATTGAAAGTCTCATTAAATTCTATTAAGATTGTCTTTTTTTTTTAAAATAAAAAAAAAAACCTGTAAATAAAGTTCAATTTGAAGTAACATTATATTTAACTTGTACCAAAATAAGTGACTAAGTAAATAAAAGATGATCTACTTCATACTTTTTTTTCTGCTTTTAACCACATCCTGCTTTAAATTACACTTTAAACTACAGTATATTGTTTAAAAACTAGAGGTTAAAAAGTCAGCAAACATGAGTGAACTTTTATTTTGAATTTTTTGTCAAAGTTAAATCTTTTATTTAACAGTAAGAGTTGACAGGTTGGCTGAATAATGTATGAATTCCGTTTAGCTGCATCCGTTTAAGGGTCCAGGTATTGTGATTCACAGTCAGACTGTAAATAAAAGATGGAGGTAGCCACACCGATGTCACCCACTGGTTTGTGAACTGCTTTGAAGTCTTGAGTTTGTACTCTGGCCCTCTTGGTCTTTTGAACGAGACTGGACGTGATGAGCGAGGCGTGGATCTAACTGTGAAGTTAGGGACGGTTTGAAAGTCTATATGGTAGCAACCTGCCAATCCACCTAAAGAATGCCCTGCTTTATCATCTTTTTCATTCTAAATGGAGCCAAAGTTCACAAAAAAAACATGATGCTGTATGGAAGGAGACTTAGAACTAGCGATTGAAACCATAAACACATCAGAAAAATATTTACTGAGGTAATAATTCACATGAGAAGTTGAATCATTTTCATAGACGTCTACAAAATCAAACATCATCTGACTACCTGAGGAGTTGCCCCCCTGCTGGCCACTAGAAAGAATGCAGGTTTATGTCACTTCTGCATTGACATGTTTTTAGCCTTGAAGGCTACTTCTATCCTTCACATACAGTCCATGGGCACAAGTCACTGCAAAAACTCCAAAATGGTAAATTCAAGCAAAATAAATCTGGCACCAAAGCATTCAAAAAGTTTTCTTGAGACAAAATCTAGCTGCTATCATAAACTACAACAAAAAGAAGTCGACTCACTTCAAGAGTTCTTAAAACAGGAAGTTTTTAATCGTGAAATGAGATACTTATCCTTAAAACATTCGTTCTACACTACCTGCTCCATCAAGTGCAATGTTCTTACCATCAGCTCTTCCATTGGTGGCGTAATCCAGATGCAGCCTCCTATAGTTGTGTTTTAATCAATCTCAGTTTATAAATGTATATTTTCATGAAAGATCTGGTGTTTTGTGGCTCTGGAAGAAAAGCAGGCGTCTACTTATTGCAGAGTTTCGGGTCCATCCTTGGATCCTCTTGAACACATGTGTCCTTGGACAAGAGCCTAAACAACCAAGTTACTTCAGATTTGTAAGCCAGCTGCCTGCATGGCAACTGCACCGCCGTCAGATGGGTGAGTGAGAAGTATAACGAGATGAATCCCTACTGTACTTCACACACATTCATGCAAACTGGTTTGTCTTAAAATGAGATTCTTACTGTGTTTATCAGTGGTGGAAAGTACATTTACTCCAGTACTCTACTTCAGCACTATTTTGACATACTTGCACTTTACTTGACTATTTCCACTTTATCCTTCTTTATGCTTCCACGCCACATACATACAGATCACACATTGTACTTTCTACAGCTCGTTTTAGGATTCCAACATCTTACAAACAGTGCTGTGTTAGTCTGCTTCACATTTCAGACGAGTTGTTAACAGCTCCACCAGATCGCTGTTTTTCCTCTAAACGTCTCACATGGTTTCATTTTAATAAATGTTCAGATGATCCAATATCTCACCAAACATCAAAGATTAGTGAAAAAGTTCAAAACTGAAAACACATTTGTGTCACTTTGATTTTTTGTCTTCATTCCTCTACTATTCATTATGTTTGGAGCCTTCAGATTTATCCTCAGTCCCTGTATATAAAATTAGATGTAAAGTAGTTAAACTAACATCTGCAGCAGTAAGACGCTTCACTGTTAATTATCTAATTATGACTGATGTAATATTATTAGTCAGAGTGAACAAACACATATCTGTACTTTAATAGCTGAACAATATTTTGCTGGTAATGCTGGAGTATTTGCACTTAAGCAGCATTTTTCATGCAGAACTTTAACTTGTAATTGAGTGATTTTACATCGCTGTATTGTTACTTTTACCAAAGAAAATAATCAGGATTCTTCCACAAATGTTGCATTTGTTCTTCGTATTTGCAATATGAGAGTTTTTCTTTCTTATTCAAACTTTTATGTTTTTAAATTGTGTTTTATTTTGAAAATTTTAATGTAGTATATGTTTCTAAAAGTGCTTTTTCTTTTATGTGTGCTGTAATATGTAAACTGCTGCTGCAACACTTAATTTTCCCTTCAGAGATAAATAAAGTAATCTAGAATAAAGAAGCAACATGATTTCTTAAAACATTTTTATTCAACATGCTATATTTAACTCTATACTTAAACTAAGACACTATTTTTTGCCCCCTTTGTTATGGGACTATAGTCAACCATTGCTAATTATTTAGTTCATAATTCATTCATTCAGTTTTCTAGAATGTGCACCACTGCAGAAACTATCAGATTTGGTCATTCTGTAAAAAAAAAAAAAATCAAACCTGTTACTTTATATCTACCTGTCACTTCTGTCACTGCTCCAGTTCCTGATGCTGCAGAAAACCTTCTTCCTGCACACTCACTCTGCTCCGAAGCATCTCTGGTTAATGAAACGGTGATGATATCTCGGCGCTTTGGCACGCTCACTTCAGCGTCAGCCCTCCGCTCAAACTTCCATCCTGCTGTGACCGCAGCCGTCCGGATTAGAGGACACGTGTTTAAAGGAAGGAAGACATTGGAAAGTTTAACGACATCAGTAGTCAAAGCCAAATGTGCTATACTGAAAGAAAGTGTTGGCAAACAGTAGTAGGTGCCATGATGTAGACGCTCCCTATAGGCAGTAGTTGTGCTGCTTGTTACAGTATTTGCTCATATTTTTTCTTTTCATTTCATCGCTGGATAGTTATAAGTTAATGTAGTTTGTTATTTTTTAAATGAAATGTGTCCTCCTGCTCCTGCTGATGAGCCCTTCTAAAATTCAGTGCAAAAATGTATTGTTTAAATTTCATTTTTGAATAACCAGCAAGTGATGCTACAGGATTTTTTATCTTTATTGGCTTATTAATTCTCAAAGGTTCACTGTAGCAGGACAAAGACCGCTGCTGATGTCTGGGTAAACATTCAAATCTGTCTTTTTCTTTTACATTCATGGATAATTTACAGCTTATTGATGAAGTGATCTCAGCAAGCAGCTTCAGCAGCATGTTAATTACTAATATAGGAGCACGAGTACCCAGATTACACCTGTGCACGTGACTTTATTACCAGATCTCTTTGCACTTATTGTGTACTTTAGGTACGTGTAACCGAAGTCAGCATTTATCTAACAAGGGTAAGCTGAGAGGAGAAAGTCACGGCAGAAACTATGGGGTGCTGAACAGTACTGTACAGTAACATGTGGCTTTCCTGTCTAAAACATAAAGTAGTCATTCTGGTCTGAGGTGAGAGATGCAGCGGAACCAGAGGAAGCCGACTATAACCGCTGCAGTTTGGTGAAACGCCGACACGTCCGGCTCCGACCTTCCTTAATGCGGACTGCGTGTTGAGAGTTCGTGCCAAACAGTCGGCATCCGTTCTCCATCTTGTAACCCAGATTGACAGGCAGGCCAGAGAGTGTTCGCCTCCCTAATAAATGGCACCACACAATGGCAGTTGGAAGGTTTTTCTTTTCATACTTGGCAACCACAAAGGAACTGTGTTGAAGTCCCTCTTCAGTCATTGGTTTATCCACTAAAAGCTCATCTCTGTCTCCAAGTTGTGTACTTAGAAGTTTTCCTTTTAGATGAAAATCTGTTCCTGATTTAAGAATGTGCAGATTTATAAAGTCCATTCACTGACCCCCACTGGCTGCAGCTTTAGCACACCAGCTCCCCTACAACTCTGTTTAAACATGCAAAACTACTCTACGCTTAGCAATGGAAAGTGATGTATTGATGTATTTCTGCCATACATGTTCCAACCAAAAGAGGAATGATACAGAAAGCTCCATCCTGCAAGTGAACAGGATTAGTTCCTTAGGTTTGAAAGAAGCAAAAAATAGATTTACATAAAGGTGGGAGGGGGGCCTTTAACATACATTTATTTCAACCTTGTGTCTTTTAGAACACTGTGGAGTGTTACAGAAGCTTTCCAAGCCAAAGGTGAAGTAGTGAAGTACTTATTGGGTTTTGTTATTTGCAGAAGAGCGCTTATATGAACTCAAAAACGGAAAGTTTGTTCTCTGACGTGCGTCCAATAATATTCTGACTCTGAGCTGTCAGTTGCTACAAACTAAAGGCTAATAGGCAGCCTATTACGAAACATTACTGGCGCTGATAAAAGAGTAATGTCAGCTCTCAACTTTTAATAATTCCATGCGCGGAAATAATAAATGTGACGAGTTTTGTTAAACGTAACTTAGCATTTGTGTGATAAAATGCTGCAGTTAATCCAACCCTCAAACCAGAAATCCAAGTGGGAATAAATAGGTTGTGGAAGCAGCTTTTTTATTTTGGCCAACGACAGACATCATCTCATTCTGTATTGACGTCAGTTATCCATCAATTCTGGAAAAACAGAATTCTGCTTTGCCTTCTGGCTTCAGAAAAACATTGTTATTTCTTGTACTGAAACGTCTTGTGATGTTGCTTGGTTGAACGCAGATAATTAGTTTCCTCTGTTTTTCCCACATTTTGGACTGAAGCTGTGAGTATCTTGTTCCCAAAGTTGACGAAACGGACATCCATCCCCCGGAGATAGGGTTTTTGGTAATTTTTGACTTGCTGTTATGTTAAATCTAAGGTGGACTGCACAGCTGTAGAAACCTATACACTGTCAAGATGCTAATGTGTACTGCAGTGATGTCTGTTCAAGTGGAAGCAAAAAGTTTAAAGAGCTCGTGTCCATCAGTGTGTATTTACTATTTAACCGCTTAGTCAAATTTCTGGAAGTCATGACGGGAAATGCACAAACCTATGGATGTCCCTCATTTAGCGAACGTGAATATTTGATTTGTCTTCAGCACAAAACTTAGACGAGTTACCTTCAACGCCAATCCAGGTTCTTTTAACATTTTCCCTCCCATTCTAAACCAACAAACATGTGGTGCGCTGGCGACCGCATACTCAAACAATGTGAACGCAATTACATCATTTGTGTGTTTGTGTGTGTGTGTGTGTAAATAAGCACTGTGCAGAATACTCTACTGTGTACGAGCTCGCACGACTGATGTAAAAGAAGCCAGCTGCGCTACCATGTTCAGGCTTGATTTGCTACATCTGGACTCATCACCTCATGAGCTTTCACGTTGTCAAAGTCTTCCTGCAGCGTACTGATGGTTTAATTCCAACCTAAGCTTCCCTGAGCAGAGTTTATCTCTCAAAGCTCTGTGTGATTGTGTCCGTGAGGCGTAACTTCAGTCCAAATAAGATTCAGATGGACGTCAGCGGGGGGAATCCATTGTCAGGAATCAACTTGTATGCTGTTGGGGTCATCGGGACAAGAAGTTGCAACCGTCTGCTTTTTCTGCCATTGAAGGAAGCAGGAAACATTATTTGCCCCCAAAACATCAGCTCCTGAGTGGTTTTGCAGCAGAAATGTCCCCAGTTCAATTTAGCTTAATGAACAGTTCTCCACCCGGCGGTTCATGTTACACTCCGACAATCATTTCGCATTGCGCTGAAGAGGAAATGAGATTGGTTGTCACCGCAACTCTGCCTCAAAATGTCCACTCTGAAACTCTCCACCGACTCGGCAGCTCGGTCCAATCTGTTCAGCCTACATGATAACACAGTTAGATTTCTTCCTACTGTTTTGTGCAGCGCCAGTTTTCTGTGCCCATGCGGGTCGTAGCTCTTTCTGCACAACGCTACGGCACCGACTCTGACCTGTCCTGTCTCTGCGCCCCCCGCTGCGCCAGTGTTACATGTGGCGATAGGAAATTGCTCGGTCTGATTCCCCGCCATCAAAATGTCCCAGCGTATCCGTCATAGAAGAAGGGGAGGAGGAGGAGGAGGTGCAGCTCGAGGTCATTCTTTTATCAGCCTGAAGGTTTCATCAAGGGGAGTTGTAGACGGAGGTAGAAGTAACTCACTGACCTGTTTCCTTTTTAGTGACTCCTACATTTATTCTATCAGATAGCTAAAATAAACCAAACTAGTGGGTGTAATTACAGTAGCTGAGGCACCCAGTGCGTCATTCTTATACTGAGGATATTATAGTAATAGTTTTAATGAATAATAGCAGGTAGTTGTTTTGAAGGTGATGTATTCTGAATGACCGGATATCACGAGAGTACCAAAACAAACAGCCCCGTCGGCTACACCTCCCTCCTCACTTCAAGTTTTATTTACAACCAGACCAGTTGTGTACACAAGAACCAACAAAAAAGTAATCCAGACACACCCATTGGCCCATGTTTTGTGCTGTATTGTAAAATGGTTGTGTAGGAGGTCCATTTATAATTGCAGGGAGGGCCAATGGTTTCAAAGGGAGGGACTTACGTGCATTAATATGCACATATAGCTGGACTGAGAAGCTCAAATTACACCTTATGGGCGAATGAGTATTCATTCTCTGCTAAGGCCAAGACTGCCACTACGTCACTATATTTTCATGTAGCAGATGGTTGTTTGCTGCTATATTTATGTTCAAATTCTCATATATTGTAGATTTAACTAGTTTCTACCAAAGTACTTACCTTGGAAAGTTGATATGAT